AGCAGTTCCGGTGCCAAAACCCTTCCCTCTCCCGCTCCTCCGGAAGTGCTTTTCTAAGGTTCGGGCCGGAGAGAGGCCTGGTAGGCACAGCCGCAGAGGCTCCTTCGGCTCCGTGGACTCGGAGCAGGGGCTCCAACCCGGGTCAGAGTTTGGAGGTCCACGGCCACGCACCCGCGCCCCGTGACCTTCCAGCGCCCGGGCGGACGGTGAGTGGACGGGGAAAGGGACTGGGCCGGCCTCAGGCCTGGGTTGGGGCTGGCGCTCTCGGGCCCCAGCCGTCCGCTCCGGGCTCCGGGCAGCAGGCAGCGGACTCAGCTGTCGGAGTCTGGGGAAAGGGGTTGTTGACCGCCGCGGTCTTCGCCTAGCCGGCGGGGCGAGAAGAACCGGGCTGCGGGGCTGTGGGGTGGGCGGGGCGGGGCCGGGGAGGGGGTTCCCGGAGCTGTTGTTGCTGTTGGGACTCGGAGGTGGGGACGGGCTGGGCCTCGGTCCGCGCGTCCCCCTCGTTTCTGCTCCCCCAAGTCTTCTCGCCGCCTCCCCTCTTTGATTTTTCTGTGTTGGACCTGGCTTTAGGACTCTTGGACACCCGATTCAAATCTGGGCTCCAGTGCCCGACTTTTCGTCTCCTCTGGGTCTGCCCACCCCCGGGCTCAATTAACTAGTATCCCGGGGGTGTCGTCTCTTCAGCTCCAGGGTGGGGCGCTGCCTGTGTAGATGCCCGGGATCTTTTGCGAGGCTTCTCCTCCTAGCCCGCTTCAGGGTAGCCTTGCGACGGTCGGTTTGGGTAGCGCTCGGAACTGGGTCTAGAGACGTAGGTCACTGAGGCATCGGCGTGCCTCCGATGCACTTCACTCACTTGGAAGCTTGCTGAAGCTGTTGCTGGAGTCAAGTTAAAAAAAAAAAAAACTTATGGAAAATCGGTTGTGCACATAAATTCCCCTATTTTCTTGCTGACGTAAAAAAAAATAAATGCTATTCCCCGATCTACACTCTTAACTTCTGTGGCTTTCCGAAGTCCCAGTTGTATGATGAGTGCAGTCACAGGTTATTGCACGAATTGATTGCAGACGGTGGGAGAATTACTATATCCCCTTTCTCCCAAAGTTTGTTTACTTTCATATTTGGGACTGTCATTTTCCTTAACTTTTAAAGAAAAATGGTTCTCGGTTACTCTTGAAAGGTTCCTTATACTTAGAGTTGCCGCTACCGTGCAGAGAGGTTCTCGCAGGCGGGCAGAGGTGTTTTGTAAAATTTTAAACTTATAACATGAAGTATTCACTTCCGTTGAATTGATAATTTGCTAGAGGAGAAAGTGATATATGTAGTTATTTTAGTGAACCGCTTTTAGGCAATAAACTCCTGAGGAAGATTTGTAGGAAAAAAGGGATTTTTTAAAAAAATTTTGATCATAAGAAATACATTTACTTTATTTTTTTAACAGGTAATCATTGTTTTTGCAATGTAAAGTATACACAGATCATCTTCATGAAACCAGCGACATATCTGCACTTCTCATTTTATGCTTATATTAGGAATTACTCTGTAGTTTTTTGAGTATGTCATTCTCCCTTCCCACCACTGGAAGGGGAGGTAATATCATGAATTAGGAAAAATAGACTTAAGTAACAAGTTTAGTGAGCTCTCCTATGTAAAGGAACATTTATTTCAGGGTTGTTGATCTTGAACAGGCAAAGGGTAGGTGATTTTTAAAGGGTAGATGATTTTTAAAGAAAAAATTCTGGACGGAAGATTAGTTGCACAACTTTTAGATTTAAGTAGAAGCTAGATTTTTAGGCATTCAAAGTGTTTGTTGAGAGCATAAGTTTGGAATATTGGAATTGAGAAAATCTGGAAAAGCAGTCAAATTAGATTTAGTTATGGATTTGTATTATAGATATGATTATGTGTTTTGAAGGAAACTTACAGGAATGATAAGAGCAGAAAAAGGAAATGGGGGAAAATTGTATACTTGCAGGTACTGTAAATTGCATTATTCAAGTCAATTCAATGATATAGATCATATACTATGGATCAAGCATGTTAGGAAGCCATGTAGGAGCAAATAAAGATAAAGCCACAATAACCAAAATTCATATTTTGGCAATAATTTTCTAAGATTGTTCAAAATCATGAATAAATTTTATTATTTAGGCGTTCTAAAATTTTTTTTTAATTGGGATTTAACATTGAGGGTAGATGTTAAGTGCTTCACGAAATCACTTTGTTAGGTATTACAGGATACAAAGGTTGTCTTTGGCCTTTAGGAATTGAATGTAGTGAGGAATGTAAGATATTTGCACAAAAATTTACGGCATAAAGAAATACATGTAAAAATTTAACCACATGGTTGGATTGACCTAAAATTTAAGTTGTTTAAAATGAGAAAGTGTTCATTTTTTGGCTTAAGTAATCATGGAAAGTAGTGGAGGTATAGTAATAACTTACAAAGATAGTTCAGTGGTGTTTTTTTATTGAAAATTTACTGAGTACCAGGCTGTATGCTAGTTGCTTCATGTACATTTTCTAAGCTTTTCAACAACATACAATCATCTTTCTTTTTTTTAATTTTTTTTGAGAATTTTAGTATTTATTTTTTAGTTTTCGGCGGACACAACATCTTTGTATGTGGTGCTGAGGATCGAACCCGGGCCGCAAGCATTCCGGGCGAGCAGGCTACCGCTTGAGCCTCATCCCCAGCCCACAATCATCTTTCTTAATGGGGACTCTAATATGTTAGATAATTTGCCCGGGCTCTGTGGCTAGCAAGTAATAGCCCCAGTTTGCATTCAGATATGTCTGGTGTCAAAGCCTATGTGTTTCCAGTATTCCCAATAAACAGTTATCTCCCAGTAAACTGCTACCTCAATTCAATATTTCACAGGATAAAAGTTTTCTAAAACAAAACTTTTTTGGATGGATGAAGCCCTTTCAAATTAAGAGAATAATATTAGTGGAAGGCCTTTCAAATTAAGAGAATAATATTAGTGGAAGGTTGGAGGTAGTAAAGTTGATTGTGTACTCAGAGAAGTTAGTTGACCAGGTTACCTAGAATATAACATTCACATTTGGGAACTGGTGTTAAGGTTGTCAAATTTAAATTGGGTTGAATTGTTGAGCATGTTTAAAATGCTGTATTTAGAAGTTTGACATTTGGAAGGTAATGAAGAGTGACTAAGATTTAATAGTGGAGTGTGCAGAATGATTTGCGGTGGCAAGCTAGCTTTCTCTCTCTCTCTCTCTCTGTCTCTCTCAGGTTTTTTTTTTTAATACTGGGGATTGAACCTGGAGGCACTTTACCACTGACCTACATCCCCAGCCTTTTTGTTTCTTTGTTTTGAGACAGGTCTCATGAAATTGCTCTGGGCTTCCCTAATTTGCTGAGGCCAGCCTCAAACTTGTGATCTTCCTGCCTCAGCCTCCTGAGTTTCAATATAGTACTGTAAATACTGGGTAAAGTTAATAGTAATGGATGAAAATGAAGGCTTGACTGGACCTGGCAATTGATTTAGTAGTTGGGTAGAGGGAGGGATTGGTAGGAAAGGTTTGGAGAAGATGGAAGCTGGAAGTTACATTTTTTAAATGTGGGATATGTTGATGGTGATACTGTTACTAGAAATATGGGCAAGGAGTTGTGTAATGAGATCAGTTTTGGATATGTTTGTTTTTTTATGTACTTGACAAACACTGGAAATGCCCAGAGGCTTTTGGAAGTGTGAGTTTGCAGTTCAGGAGAGAGGTCAGGTTTAGGCATATATTAAACATGGTGTAGAGAATAATGCAAATAAAAATACTTGTAGAGTCCACTTAAAGAGATGAACATGCCAAGGGAAAGTGCTGAGGGGAAAGAAAAAAACACAAACTAAAACAAATCCTGTATTTTAGATAGCATCTGTTTAAAACAGAAGGAAAAGACACTAAGTATTCTATTTTATGCAATGGATAAAAAATTTGATAGTATGTATACAACTTCTTCACATTGCAGATTCAGATGGAGTAGAAGGAATCTGATCATTAAAAATCCAGTTGGGAAATAAATTTTTTGCCCTTCCTAGTAAGAATACTATCGTATCATTATCCTATTTCAAGGAGGACAAGTCAGTTTTTGGTTACTTAAAAGCTATGTTTGGTTATTTCTTTTGAACATTTGCTTGGCAAGTGATATGTGAGGATTTAAAAGTAAATCTCTGATGTTGTATTCCATTTATTTGTTTGCATGATTTTGATTTTGGTATGGATATCAAGAATCTCTGAATATTCACAGATAATACTTGTGCCTCTTATTATAGCCAGTTGTTAATATTGCCTTTTATAGAAAATGGTATTTAATTACATATTTTTCTTCCAACTCTCTTTTGTAAGTATTTTTGATTAAAGTAAGTAGTTTTATCTCTAATGTTCTGATTACTCTACTGGGATAGAATGAAGTACTTTCTGGGTGTGGGAGTGAACGCTAGGGATCAAACCCAGGGCCTCATGCATGCTAGGCAAGCATTGTATCACTGAGCTACATCCCCACCCAGCTTAAGATACTTTTATCTATGATGTAATGATATACATGTGAAAATTATGTTTTGTGTTTAAGAACTATCAATTTATAGAATTTTATGTTTTATGTTTAGATATTTAACTAAGGGGAATTTGTGTATTAAAATGTAAAAGACTGTAATAGTTTGCAAAATGAGGCTTAGAGAGATAACTTTTTAAATACAGTTTATTATTTTTAGACTAAGTTACCATGGAATTGCTTGTTTCTTGAGAATTAATACAAATTCCTTTTGTTTTTCAGGAATATGTTTTTCACTGTACGCCAGCACTTGAGACTGTCCAAAGTGTTTTGCGTCAGTGTTGTTGGAGGCAGGGGGTTTTGTGTGTGCTTTGCCTGGATGGTTGGCTTAGTTTCAGTGAGCCTGGTATTAACAAAGCGAAGGTCAAGAGTTCCATTTAGCTTCTGTCTGAATGATGGCCAGGGAATACACCTCTCACTCCCACCAGCTGTCTTGCAAATTCCTTGATTGCCATTGTTTACAAAGGTGACTGCATGTGGGTAGATCTTTTACTATTGGAGGAATATTAGAGGAAACTTAGCCAAATGGTTAAGAACTCTGACTCTGTAGTTGACAGATCTCTGTTAATTTGTGGCCTTGGGAGAGTCCCTAAACCTGTCCAAGCCTCTGTTTCCTCATTATTGGAGAGGTTAATATTTGGTTTG